ACATTGGCAAATTATAATTTCTGATAGGCCCCCCCACACCAACACAATTTGCTTCTTACCTTGAACTGCATATATGATTTTATTATCAGTTTCGTGAATGAGTGCTTATAAATTTTATATATATATATATATATACTGATTAAAATATTATTTTCCCTAAAACTGAATGGGATATATGTTGGGCAACTATTATTTTTCTTTGCTCCTCAGCACTGGCAGACTTGTATTGTTTCCTCGTTGCTATTCATTTGTTTATTGATCTTGGTTCTGTGCCGATGGCTCCAAATAATCTGGAAGTACTGTCAGTTTGCAGAGTAAACGCCAAAATATCTGTCTTTCTAACATACACAAGCCAAATGAATACTGTGTCACATTAATTACCCATTACAAATAATGAGTTTTCTTGGGAAAAAAAATGGACAATGAGTAGTGTTAAGAGGTCCAAAAATTTACCATTCAACTGTTCATTTCATCTAGAGGTTTAGAATACCATTTTCATTTTGTCCTTTTTGTTTTAAATTTCTGAAACATGGTGGTGTTTGCCTGTTTTGTTGTATAATAGCATGTTTGCTAATTCTTTAATATGCCGACACATTTAATGGCAATGGGGTTCCATTGAGCTATGAATTAAGCATTTTGGTGAAAAGTTTTTACTTTGATTTATGGTAATATATATAATGACATGTTGGCATTCTTATCCAAATCCTCTACCCAACAAAATAAAAAAAAAAAATCAAGAGCTAAGAAAATCATGACTTATACATGTATAGGCTAGACATGCATGAGTTGCCTTAGACTGATGTGCAGCCAGCAACACAAAGTGGAAACCATGATAATTAAGTTGGAGGAGAAGAAGAAAAGCTCAATCATGACAATGCTTTTCTTTTTGGAGACAAACCCTAAATCATCATTCTTTTCCAAAGTGGAAAAGCTTAAATGTTCCTTAGCAATGGAGGTTTTAGTGGGGAGTAGTTAATTAATTTATATATTAGGTTAGGCTAGCTATACATGCTGTCTTCCAACTAAGCCCCCGAAATGGCTTTCCTGTTACCTTTCTTTCTCCTTGTAATCCAAGTATTGGATAATGTGTGAGGGGAAGTATTACTATAATGCATGCTCAACACTTTTTAGAGCCAGCAGTGAAAGCAGGTCTCTGTTTGGTGATCTGCATGGATTTTTATTTGGAATGCTTTGCATGGAAACATGCTTTGCTTGCAGAGTGTGATCACATAATGCAGATGATGGAAAAAGTTGCAGAATTCCTAGGTTTTAAAGAACACAAGTATGCACTTTCTGCTTTTGCATAAAGAACAACTTTGCCTTACAGTTGAGGGTTTTGTTTGTATTTGCTGCTAAGCATTCTCAACAATAATTAAAATTATTCTAATAATTATTGTTGGTATAATATTGCAGCAGGCTTTGACTGCATAATAGTTTAAATAATTGATCAAAATAAGTGAAATTCTTCCAAGTAACTGATTGGTTTAACCTTTTTGAAAATAGGCCAGAAGATAGTTCAATTATTCTTCTTTTGAACAGTGAAAGTTTGATCTTTCATAAAGATTTCCATGTGCTTCCACATGCATGAAAACTAGAAGCTCCTGGATATGAATAGTTTCCCTTCCTTCCCCCTTCTTTTCTCCCATGAACAGATCATTCATGTTGGGCTTCTAGGCATATGGTGTGGGTTTAATTCAAGCTAGAACCCAAAAGCAGTCTAGTCATTGTTACATGATGACAGCGAGTGGTGGGTGTGAATAAGCTTAACTCATCAAGTTCCAATGATAGGGTCAGTCCAGCAACTAGCAAATTGATGTTGAGAAAGGCAATAATAGGCTATAACCATTAGAAGAAAGTTGATACAATAATCTGCCGCTCAATTTTTATGTACTTCATCTTATTTATTCTTTTAATATCTGATCAATATCCAAACCTCTTGATTCAATGATCCAAATGAGAGCAGAGGTGTCCATTGATCAAAATTAGGGGTGAGTAATTAGTCAATTTGATTCATTAATTATAATTAAAGATCAAGTGGAGCAAACATTTTTAGAAAATCGATCAAAATTGATCAAATTTAAAAGAAGATTGAACAAATCAAACATTGAATTGGTTTGGTTGATTCAATTTTGAATCAAAAAAATCAAAATTTTATCACTCTTGTCTTTTACAAAGTACAACAATGAAATTTATAAATTTCATTCATAATTATGAAATATACAAATAATTTAAACATAAAAAAATATAACATTTTATTTTTTTCATTTACATAATTATATCATTTCACATAATAGATCAAATCAACATTTAAGAGTTTCATATAATTATATAAATTTAAAATATATATGTATATGTATAAAATATTGTTTAAGTTTTTAATCAATTTGGTTCAAAAATTTTAAGATCAAGAACCAATCAAATAAACCAATAAAATTAAACTGTTTGAGTCAATAAACTTAATAAATTAATTAGATCAAATCGTTTTATCTAAATTGCATTCAATTCATTAATTTAGTTCAATTTTACTCATCCTTAATCAAAATTAACTTTTTCTCTTTATTTGTGGGGCAAGAGATCAAAGTGAACTTTACCAGACAGGAAGTAAGTTGGGCCGCTAGGCCTAAATAGAGAGTTCAGATTCATTAGAGTGGCTGCACTCAAAGGTCCAAGCACTCTTTTAGTTTGGACTCAAACTACCATTGACCCAAACCGAAAGTTCACCTTCAAACGCAATCAATCTCCGAGGGCAAAATCTGCGGCAAGGTCTTTATTTTCGACTTTATTATAAGCTTAATTAATAAAAGTCATTTAATCTATAAAATTAAATTACAATTATTGATTTAAAACTTATACAAAATGCAGTAATTAAAAAAATTTTCTTTTGATGGATTCTTTTTTTTATACCTTAATAATAGAAACCATTTATTTGCATCGTTTTTATTCAATGGCTAATATTTTCATATTATAAATAGGATTATTACTATAATAAATCAGAAAGTCAAAATTAAAAAATATAATAACAAAAAAAATATAATTTAAAATTATCATTAAAAAGCCTAAACGTAAAGGTTTTAAATGTTATGCTTAAAAATCATTAACATAAAACAATAAGAATTGACATAAAAACTCATAAAGGTAAAAGAATTAAATTTAAAATCTTAATGTAAATGTATGAGAGTTAATGTGACAAGTCAATCAAGAAAAAAAATCTAATTTTAATAAAAATAAATATTTAAATTTATACTCTTGGGTAAAAAATGTTTAATGATAAAAAATTTTAATTTTTAAATAAAAAAATAAAGATTAAAATAATTATAATTCAAAATTGACATAAAAAAGTATTGATATAAAACTGTAAGAATTAATATAAAAATTTATAAAGATGAAATAACTGAATTTTAAATTTTAACGTAAATGTGTGAGAGTTAACGTAATCAGTCAATTAAATAAAAAAACTAATTTTAATAAAAAATAAATATTTAAATATATATTTTTAGACTAAAAGTGTTTAATAATATAAAATTATTAATTTTTAAATAAAAAATAATAAAAATAAAATAATTATAATTCAAAATTGATATAAAAAAACCTTAACGTAAAAATTTATGAAGGTGGAATAAACAAATTTTAAATATTAACATTATAAGTCAATTAAGTAAAAATTTTAATATAAATAAATATTTAAATTTATTTAATCAAGTTAAAAGTATTTAACAATATATAAATTTTGATTTTAAATAAAAAATAAGAATAAAAATGATTATAGTTCAAAATTGATATAAAAAAGTTTTAACGCAAAATTATAAGAATTGAAGTAAAAACTTATAAAGTTGGAATAATTAAATTTTAAATTTTAACGTAAATGTGTGTGAGTTAATATAATAAGTTAATTAAGTAAAAAAATTTAATTTTAATAAAAAATAAATATTTATAATTATATTACCAGACTAAAAATATGTAACGATATATAACTTTTTATTTTTAAATAAAAAATAATAAAAATAAAAATAATTATAGTTAAAAATTACTATTAAAAAAGTTTGACATAAAATTGTAAAAATTAACGTAAAATATTATAAAAATAAAATAAATAAATTTAAAATTTTAACGTAAATGTGTGGGAGTTAATAAGTGATAATAATTATTTTTATTAAATTAATTAATTAAATATAATTTTAATATTAAAAAATAATATATTATAATTTAAAAGAAAAATTAAATAAAAATAAAAATAAAAAACTTTTAAAATAAATTAAATAAATTTAAAAAATATCTATATTATTATCCTAAAATGAATAAACACCTATTAACCTGTTATATAAATTTTTATTATTTTTTTAAATTTTATTGATTGATTTTACAGTAAAATTAAACTTACTATAGCGTTCACCAATCTCCAAGGGATGGAATTGTACGGAGCTTGTTTGGGGTTAAACTCAAGACACCAGAGTCAGGACAGTGCATTCTCGACCGCGGCATCAGGATAAGAGCTGGGATCCATTAAGAATGGGCAACGTTTCAGGCAGTAATTCGGCTCTTTATTGAATGGGGCCCACTTCACTCTCCTACTCTGACTGCCTGGTTTTGCCCACTGCTCCCTACTGTTTGCAATTCCATCGCTTGCTTCCCCTCTACTAAAAACCCAAAAGCAGAACAGTGAGCGGTGTTTCCCTTCTGCAAAAGAAAAGAAATGGAATTTACTTCTGCTGTTCTTTAATACTAATATTTTCTTGGCTTTTTCCGTTAAGCTTTTGGGCTACCATCTGTTTCTAAAAATGAAGATTGTAGTTTCATTGTTTTCCTTTTAAATGGATAAGTATTTTTGGCTTTGGACGTTAGATGCCTAAAACTATATTCTCTTTTGCTTGTTCTCTCTAAAGCCCATAAAAAGAAGGATTCAATTTAATGCTTGGAGCGATTTTTTCCAGAAAGAAAGAAGTTTTAGACTATTTCAAAACAGTTAAGCGCACTTAAAACCGACAAATTTTGATTCAAAAAACATGTCTGCAATTAGAAGAAGAAAGCCCATCAATGAATCCGACAAAACCTCAGAAGCATCAGATTCAAAACCCCAAAAGGAGAAGGAAGAAGAACAACACGGGGATGATGATGGCAGTGATAAAGACAAGAAAAAAATCCCATCCAAGATCAAGAAGAAACACGAAAAGAAACCACCCAAGTGGTCGTGTTTGGACTCGTGCTGTTGGTTCATTGGTTGCATATGCGTAACGTGGTGGCTTCTGTTGTTTCTTTACAATGCAATGCCGGCTTCATTTCCGCAGTACGTAACGGAGGCTATAACGGGGCCCTTACCGGACCCGCCTGGTGTGAAGCTGAAGAAAGAAGGGTTAAAGGCTAAGCATCCAGTGGTGTTTGTGCCAGGGATTGTGACTGGTGGGCTTGAGTTGTGGGAAGGGCGGAAGTGTGCTGAAGGGTTGTTTAGGAAGCGGTTCTGGGGTGGCACTTTTGGTGAAGTCTACAAAAGGTATTGAATTTTTGGCTGCTTGATATTTTTTGCTAGTTTAATGCTTTTTTTTTTATCTAAATCAAGGTATAATTTGGGGAAAGGAGATTTGAACTCAACTCTTTCAGCTTGGGGATAATTGTACTTATCATCGAGCTAGAAATTAGGGGTATGTTTATGGTTTTGGATAAAGGTTACTGGTCATTTAATGTTGTTTTAAGGATTGCTTGTTAATTTTGTTCAACAAGTGTTGATGATTCAATGTTGCCTTTCGTGTATGTGATAAAAGGTCTAGTTAGTGAATTTTTGGTTAAGTCTACGAATGGAGAGTTAATTTTTCGGTTTTTGGTGTTGTACTGTTGTTTCTGATTATAGTTACGAGGCTTAGTTGATCCCGATTTGGGAATTCTGTGTCTTTTATGGGTTCTTATTGATTGCTTGTGCTTATTTACTTGTGAGTGTGAAATTTGTAAGTGCAATAGTTTTATGGAAAGTTAAAGATTGATAGGTTGTTGTCATTTATGAGGATATAGGGGTATAGTTGTTGAATGGAAAGTTGGAAACGTAAGTTGGTTTGTTACTTAAAGTGGCTAAGTTGCAGGGTGATTAGTTTTATTTGTGGAAGCTATCTTTCTCATCTGGTTTTCCCATTTGGTCGTCAGTTGGATTTTCTCAATTTACCCTTTTTTTCAGCCTGATTGAATGTGATGTTGGGCCTACTGGCTATCACATATGCTTATACGATCATGAGGGCCATCAGTTTATTGTTTACTTGTTTCTTCACATATGGGCTTTCGTGCTCTTCTGGAATTAGCAAACAAGACCTGTTGGATAGATGTCTTTACTCTTTAATTATGTACCTTTTTGCTGTTCTAAATGGAAACATGAGGTTGTGTAATGCATCAAAACAACAGAGAACAAAAATGACCCTGTTAGATTTTCCTTTTTGGCCACAACCTTCAAGAGATTAGTGCACTGGGTTTATCACATAAATGATATGGCTGGACAGTGCGAGCATTGAATTTAATATCTTTTTCTTCCATGTATTTTACATACGGAAAGCAACATTAGTGGAAGGGGCATACTCAATTAATCCATGCAAAATCTGTCACCGTGATATTCCATTAAATAGCATTTTGATTTTTGTGTTAGCAGTAGTTATGTGTTTAAGTTATGGACTCTTAGCAGTGCTTGGATAATTGGTATTCTCCATGGTTTTATTGGATAATATGCAGACCTCTATGCTGGGTGGAGCACATGTCATTAGATAATGAAACTGGATTGGATCCTTGTGGTATAAGAGTGAGGCCTGTCTCTGGACTTGTGGCGGCAGACTACTTTGCTCCAGGCTATTTTGTGTGGGCAGTTCTGATTGCTAACTTGGCACGTATTGGGTATGAGGAGAAAACCATGTATATGGCTGCCTATGATTGGAGACTCTCATTTCAAAACACTGAAGTAAAGTTTCCTAAACTTGAATTTCTTGATAGCGGTCACCTAGGCAGTGGAATTAATTGATTATGAACCTTTTTTGATAATTCTGATTTTGTTTGGATTTTGACATCTTTCAATTAATCAGGTACGTGACCAAACACTAAGCCGTATTAAGAGTAATATAGAACTGATGGTGGCTACAAATGGAGGGAAAAAGGCTGTTGTCATTCCACATTCCATGGGTGTTCTGTATTTCCTACATTTCATGAAGTGGGTTGAGGCGCCTGCTCCAATGGGTGGTGGAGGTGGACCATATTGGTGTTCTAAGCATATTAAAGCTGTGGTCAGCATTGGTGGACCATTTCTGGGTGTTCCAAAAGCAATTGCTGGGCTTTTCTCTGCTGAAGCAAAGGATATTGCAGTTGTCAGGTACCTAACAAGTATACCTTCTCAGCAGTGAACTACTTTTAGCAACTCAACAGGTATCTTATGATGTTTTGTCGAGGATCTCATCGTATCTTTTCAGAACTTAACTTTGGAGTTTGGACAGTGTGGAGAGAATGTGAAAGGTTTCATCAAGTATTAATTTGGTTCCTTGTGACACCACTAGTGGACCAGCATGCCTCTAAACCACATTTCTAATACACTCTGGGTTACCTTAGAAATCTTGTTTGCTGTTGAATGTTAAATATGCTAAAAACAAAAATAGATCTCATGTACTTGTCACTGTCATATCATTAGTCCCTTTTTTTTTTTTATTTGCCTCATTGTCTGTTGACAAGCCTCCTAGTCCTACACGTGATCTGGAGCATTCTTCCTTGTTTCTTTGGGCATTTTTTGTTTTGCAACTGTCCTTAATGCTTTATGGCTTTTTTGTTCTTCTTCCTTATTTACCCCTTATTTTTACTTTCTGTTTTCATTATTGATAACGACCACTTTTGAAGTCAGACTTTGCTTTCTTTGACTGATTATTATGCAAGATGTTGGATTGATTGCAGTTCTAGTCGAGTAGAGTGGAAATTGTAGTATTTTCAGCTGGCTTTTACCACTATTCTTGGTCTAAAATAAATGACAGAATGTTGTATGGCACATTATGTGAAAAGAACAGCTGCATGCAACATTTCATGGTACAAACTTTTGTTTTCTGTCCTCCACCCTTTGCATGGAAATTCTAGTGATTTATTCTAGTTTCTTTCATATTAGGAAGAAGTTTTCCAGTTTTTCTTGTCAAAGAACTTCCTACACTTGTCCTGGAATTCTTGAGCTAAGAAATTGGTCAAATACACAAGTTACTTACTAGTTAATGATCTTAATTATCTCTGAAGTACATAATGAAAATTTTATCTTTCTTACAATAGCACTAAAAATGAACCCAAAATGCAGGGCTATTGCACCTGGTATTTTGGATAATGATATATTTCAGCTTCAAACATTGCAACATGTGATGAGGATGAGCCGCAGTTGGGATTCAACCATGTCGATGATACCAAGAGGTGGGGACACAATATGGGGTGGTTTAGACTGGTCACCAGAGGAAGGCTATTCTTGTGCCAAAAAAAGAGAAACGAAGAATGAGACGCAGATTGCAGAAGAAGCTGGTTTTGAAAGTGCAGTTTCTCAAACAAGAAGTGCAAAGTATGGAAAGATTATATCCTTTGGAAAAGATGTTGCTGAGGCACCTTCATCTGACATTGAGAGGATAGACTTCAGGGTAATTTATTTTCTCTTGTAATCTAGGAGGGTTCCCTGTTAGCTTGTTACCCAGAACAAGATCTTAAGATAACGAAAAAGGAAAAGGAAAAGACAAGACTAAGGCCTCGGAGTGTATTTTGGTTAGCAAAGTTTTATTGATGAATAATATGTGGAGAATAAGCACTAGTTGCCCTGAATTATAGTAGCCGTGGACACTTGCTTTCAAATAAAAGTGAAGTTACTGGTGATGGATGGTTAACATCAAGATCAATTATTGCTTGAAACAATTCGCACGCTTAAAGGAATTAACTAAAATTATGGCTTTGAAATCAGATAGAAATGTTTAACTGCTAACTTATATCAAATAATTCTCGAAACATTTCTTTGGCATAGAGAACAATTGGGCACCATGTTGTGCTGTATGTCTGCTTTGTTTTATTTAAAGTCATTGCCTTAATTTTTTAGCTTTGCAATGTTCAGGATGCTGTTAAGGGTCGTAGTGCCGCAAACACCACTTGTCGAGATGTGTGGACTGAGTACCATGACATGGGATTTGGAGGTATCAATGCTGTTGCTGAGTATAAAACTTTCACTGCTGAATCAATTGTCGACCTGCTTCATTTTGTTGCTCCAAAAATGATGGCACGTGGTACTGCTCATTTCTCCTATGGAATTGCTGACAATTTGGATGACCCCAAGTATAAGCACTACAAGTATTGGTCAAATCCATTGGAAACAAAGTGAGAATTCTATAGCTTCATTATTTCATTTTGTTCTTGCTGCACGGTATTTGATATTCTTTTTCCCTTTTTAGTCAATTTTTGCTGTTTTATAGCTCCTTCTGCTTGTTTATCTGTAAACTGAATCTATGGCCAAGATCAGAAGCTGATAGAAAGCTTAAAGCATTATGGTAGGGTGCCTCATTTGACATTATCGATTGTTTACTAGAACTCAATTTTCTTAGTTTTCCTTTCAATTTGGGGTATATGGCTGTGATGTAATCAACCTTTGCACTGGCTATGATTTTTGCTCTTCAGTTATTTGACTTAGTCAATGCCTATTGCAGTTTGTAGGTTTATGCTTTTTGGGTTTGTAAATGTTTGTTCATAATAAGTATTCACTGTCACTCTGATTTTGCAGGTTGCCAAATGCACCTGAGATGGAAATCTTTTCTTTATATGGAGTTGGCCTACCAACTGAAAGAGCATACATTTACAAGTTATCTCCTGCTGCTGAGTGTTATATTCCTTTTCAGATTGATACATCTGCTGATGATGAAGAGACCTGCCTGAAGGATGGTGTGTATTCTGTGGATGGAGATGAGACCGTACCAGTTTTAAGTGCAGGTTTTATGTGTGCTAAAGGTTGGCGGGGTAAAACCAGGTTCAATCCTTCTGGAATTCGAACATATATTAGAGAATACAGCCACTCTCCTCCGGCCAACCTATTGGAGGGGCGTGGCACCCTTAGTGGTGCTCATGTTGATATAATGGGAAATTTTGCATTAATTGAGGATGTTATAAGGATCGCAGCTGGGGCTTCGGGTGAAGAATTGGGAGGGGATCAAGTTTATTCTAATGTCTTTAACTGGTCTGAGAAGATAGACTTGCAATTATAACTTTCACTGGTACATATTCTCCCCTGTCCTTTTTTTCCACTTCCACTGTTGTTCTAAGTTTCAACTGTCTGGCCCATAATTTTACCTCCACATCTATTCTTTGCTTGCCTATATCTTTCCATTTAAATTTACAACCACGATATTCTGTGTCTGGTGTTTTGTTCTTACCATTTTCATTGCAGCATTCTATCTGAGCTCTGAATTGACACAAATTTCTCCTTTATATGTATATATTCAAATTCAATGGTGCTAATAGATCTTGCTAATTTAATGAGGTCTTCTAATTTTCGTTTGAAAAACCAACTTCGAAGTTGACTATGCAATGCTGGGTGATCATACATATCTATTCTGTCTATGAGGAGCTGGCTGAAAGTTTTTTACCTGATTTCTTTTTCATTTTGCACATGTGCAGGAGATTGTGACTCCAGAAAATTCTCCAGGTGGTGTGGTGAAATGGCTGCTTTTTTTAATTGTGTTCCCCGACCAAATGACTATAAAGTGAATTATCATTTTCCTTGTATGTATTTGGGGAGTGATTGGTTGGTAGTCTCGTTTTAAGTCTGGTTATTGGTTTGTATATCTCATTTTCTGAGGAAAGTGCTACAGCTATTTGTTCCCCTCATATCATTTAAACTCTAATATAATTTTAAATTTTTTCAAGTTTTTTAAAACTGGTTTAAATTCACAAAGGAATATTCATTTCTTTTAAAATGGAACCTTTTGTTAGCAGTTGAACTTCTGATGATGTATGATGATTGTAAATCGTAGCTCATGGTACTTGTAGGCTCTTTGAAGTGGATTTGCCATTGGTTTCACAACCAAATATGATGTTATCAAGATTCAAATTGGGCCCTTCAAACTCCCAGTCTCATGTGGCAGGATAACAAAATTCCGAAGAAGAGAGCCTAATCTCTGGTAGACTGGTAGTTGCAAGGGATAAGGCAATACCAATCTCCTTGAAGGTGTTCCCTGTCTTAAGAGCAGCATGAGAAATCTTGATAGAAGAAAGCCTCTAATATTGTCTCCACTTTCCAAGCAATTGAACCCTACTGCTGTGGAGAGTTGAGAACCTCCGAAATGAATACAACATGCTGGCTTCATAGTCCATCCTGCATGCAGTTCTTCATCACAGTTACAAAGTCACAACATCTACTGCTCGGAATCTATTGACCCTAAAGCTGAAACATCCAAAATGTGTCATCATATCTTTTCCATCAGGGTAAGGAGAATAAAGAGTTGATGCACCATTTTTGGCATATGGAATCTAAGTCACCAATGCGCTTTTGTCGTTTGGCAAAGCTCCTTGCACACACCGTGAACTCGTTTGAAAAAAAGTGTCACTCATCCCCATTGAGACCTGTGGATTATTCGTCAACTAGCTTTTTCCTACGTTTAGTAGGTTCTCTTAATTGTGCGTATCCCAAACAAAGATTAGTACAAACTGCCTTTTGACCAAAGAAGAAGATGCGGAGGAAAGTGCGAGACTGTCGAGCAGAATAAATCCATTCACTTCAATTTGAAAGAAATGATTTCTTTATCTCAATTTGAAGGAGGGGTGGCTTCAATTAGTAATTAGATGAGTTTTATAAGAGATTTTGAATTTAAATATTGATAATTCTATACTGATATTATTTCAAGTAAGGTAAAGAATTGATTTGATTCGATTCTTTGAATTTTTATAAGTTAAAATACTCATTAATTTTCTGTATTTATGTATTTTATTTAATTTAATTCTTATACTCAAAATTAAAAAATTTAATTTTTTAATTTTAAAATTACTTTAATTTAATTTTTTTTAACGTCATTCAATTTTATAATTAAAAAGATAATGTCAATGCTGACATTAACATTGTTGTGGCATATTTTGATGGCGTGGCATGCTACTTAGCATGACATGATGATGTGGCAATGCCACATGGGCACTAATATAGTGATGTGGCATAAACATGCTAACATGTCAATGTTATGTGCTAGATCAAAAAATTTATAAACAAATTTTTTGTTTCACGGTATAAGGATTAAATTGAATAAATATATATGATATATGAACTAAATTGAATAAAATTGAGATGTTGAGGAACTAAATTGAAAAAATTATTTGAAAAATATAAATCTTTTAAATAGATGATAGATATATTTACTAATAAGTTAAATATTTTAAATGTAAAAGATTTATGGTGTTAAAAAATATATGTAAATATTTTCTTATTTAATTATTTGATTTTAGAATATGTAAATTAATTTATACTTTTTAATAAAAATTAAGTTTAAATTCACCGTCTATAAAAATATTTTGAAAAAATTTTTATACCTAAAGTAAAATTTAAATGAATAACTTACATTATATTAGAATAAACTAATATAAAAAAATTAAATAATTTTTTTTATTTATAATAGTAGAAAATTTAAAATTTATTTGACTTAATTTTTAACTTAAGTTTAACTCAAATTAGCAAAATATGTTAATTTAGTTACAACTTTCAAAATTTACAAATACCTACTCTTTTGAAATTATTCACCCCTTACCTAATTTACTTTTTATTTAAATTTACTCAAAATTTCTTATAAAATGATTCTATTTAAGTTTAAATACCACAATCAAATTATGCTAAATTTAAATTTAAATTACTAATTTGGATCTACAAAAAAATTTTAAATACAAAATAAAATTATACAAATATTTACAATTATATTTAATTATATGAACCATAAATGTACTCTTTTATCTAGGAAATTTCAAAATAAAAAATTATAACCTAAAATATTAAATAAAATAAAAATATAAAAAATAAGTAAAAAATTGAAAAGATAGAATAGCTTAGATTTTATGATTGTAATAAGAGATTTATCATACCCAAATTAAGCAAGTCAGAACAAATAATTTTTTTATAATCATCGTTAACTCCGTATCTTTTTTTTTTATTTTAAAAAATATATAAATCAATCTATTTTACTAATTTAAGTTTAACTCAAGTTAAAAATTAAGTAAAATAAATTTTAAAATTTTATACTATTATAAATACAAAATTATTAATCTTTTATATTATTTTATTTTAGCATAATATAAGTTATTCATCTAAATTTAATTTTAGGTATGAATTTTTTTATAAAAAGAGAATTCATACTTAATTTTTGTTAAAAAGATAAATTAATGTATATATTTTAAAATCAAATAATCAAGTAAGAAAATATTTATATATATTTTTTAACATTATAAATCTTTTACACGTAAATATTTAGCTTATTAATAAATATACTCATCATTTACTTAAATATTTATACTTTTTAAATATTTTTTTTTCAATTTAATCTCTCAACATCTTAATTGTGTTCAATTTAGTATCTATATTGTTTACTTTTGTTTAATTTTATTCTTACGATGTGATGTAGAATTTTGTTTAAAATTTTTTTTTAACCTGCCACGTAATGCTAATATTGGTATTATCACACCATTATATTAGTGTTACGTAACATTATCATGTCATCGTGTCAATATCATGTCATCAAAATATACCACATTAGCGTTGATGTTAACGTTAACGTCATTCTTTTAACAGTAAAATTAGATGTTATTAAAAAGAAGAACTAAATTGAAGTAATTTTTAAAATTAAAAAATTAAATTGTTTGGATTTTGAATATATTAATTAAATTGAATAACATACATGAGTATAAAAACTTTGTAAGTATTTTAACTATATTTATATTACAAATAATTTTAAGCAATTTTGTTTTTAAACGGTAATTAAAATATAGAATATTTTTCCTCCCAAATTGAAATTCAAATTAAAAAAAGAAGAAAAAGAAACATATGAGCTCGATTGTCTATTTTGAGTAAAAGGTTATTACAACAATTATTTTAAGTTTGGTTTGGATGCAGTTAATTAAAATAGCGATTGTGTATATTTATATGAGCCATTGAATTTCTTCATATTTTGATTATTTTTCTACTCTCAATAATCAATATTTTAGGATTAAATAAAGAAAAATTAAGAAACTGACAACAGCCAATAGGCGTATAGGACCTACGTCGTTAACATGCAGCCGGGAGGAGTGAATCATAGCACTTTCCTGTCATAAAATCTTTCAATTCACAATTTTCTCCCTTATTGCCCTTTTATTTCTCACCCAGTTTCTCTTCAAATTTAAAAAAAAGAGAGGAGAATTCACGAAAAAAGAAAAGAAAAAAACACTTCTGAAACTCTCCTTTCTCTCTCTCGATCACAATCGGGAACCCTCCCTTTTCCCTCTCTTCCTTTCGAGCTTCGATCCCTCTCCTCCCCTTTTCGAAACCCTTGTTTAAAACCCAAACTCGTTAACCCTAACTCACTGAGTCCGATCCTCCCAACTCCGATAATCATCGCTTTTCTACAGATATTATCGATTAATTGAGCTTATTAAGGTAAGGATCGCGCTCCCTCTTTTTTTTATTACTCTCCAATTTCATTTTATTATCGGTTTTCTCTTGCTCTTCAAAAAATTTGAACGCGAATGCATTTAAGAGTTATATTTTTAGGGTTACTTGGCCGCTGTTATAGTTTCTAATTTAGGGTTTTAGATATGAAAGGTTTTTTTGAATTTTAAGTTAGTTTTCTATGTGTTAATTTTCATTGATTTTAACTCTGTAATTGACGTTTATGTCTTATTTGGATGTGCTTTGATTTGATTGCTTGGTTAAAATATTTTCATTCACGTGCGTTTAGACATTTCCGTTTCTAGCTTGCTTCTTTCAGTTTGAGGTTGTTCTTAGCTAATTTGATGAATGAAGTCTCACTCCCTCTTCGATGCAGGTATATTTATCACGACTCTTAAGAAGCATTTGGTTGGTGCCACGGATACAAGGTAGCTTTCTTGTTTCCTTTTCCATGGGCTGATAAGTAGTTGTGTGTTTTGAGGTTATCTTAAATGACCAGTTTTTGTTTATAATTACCAAAAGTCTTTGATGGGACTTATTTTGTGTTGTAATGTATTTGTGTATATGTTGACGCCGGTATAGCTATAGCAGTTATAATAATTTATTTAGACATTAAATTCCGACTTTTTCTGTGGTTAGATTCAACTTGATGTTGCACATGTACCCTTTTTGGGGAGCTATTGTTGTATTAAATTTGCTGATGAAAATGCAATCTGTCAACTTCTAACTAAAGAGCGGCAACTAGTTTCTCCATTTAGGGTCTGTTGCCTAATTTTGGTATCTCAATCATAAATTGATTAGGAAAAATGCATCTCTCTGTCTGGCCAAAGATTTGAAATTTGGAGCTACAAAAGTTTTGGGCACGCACTTGATCATTTTGAACATTAGCCCAACTATTGTTTAGAAGTATGGGCTGATATCCTTCACAAGCTGACTAAGCCGGGCTGTTTTTTGGAACTTCTGCTTGTATTGTTCTGTGCTATATTCTCAGCCAATATGTTTGTATACTTCTACTATTTCTTGCTTCATGCAGTTTGTTTTGCATTATCCTGATCTTAATTTCTTTTGATTGCTAATTATGTCTTATGAAATTCCTTTAAGCAAGCTAAAACCTTTTTTTTAGGCTAGAAGATAAGGAATTTCTTCTTTAGCTACTATTTATCCTTCTTGACATGGGACCTTTGGTGCCGCCAGTGATTGAGGTTAACTTGTAGGTTGAGATGAGTATACATATTGTTGGTGACATCTTTAAGAATTAAGAAGACAGGATTCTGGGGTCTCTTATGTTTTTTGAATAATTGATGAGATTTCCATATATATAACAAATCAAGGTGAAAAAGTTTTGAATTAATGATACCAGGATAGGGTATATTTGGTGTATTCTTAAAGCTTGGGGCAGTGCCGATCTGGAGGATAAAAGTTATAAAGTCAATGAGATGAAATGAGAGGCAAGAATTTTTAGCATTGGTCTGGCTGCCCAGAATAGGCACATTGCTTTTTCATTTGTTTATGGAATGCAGGAACAAATGCGTGCGTGGGTTTCATGGAAAAACAACAAGGCAGAGGAGATACCCTCTGTTATTGGTGTAATTTTAGAATTAATTGTGTGCTGGTTTCTAAAGCCGCTTAAGTATTTTTAAACTAAAAAAATTAAGTGGCAATGTTGTAGAATTGGATTTTGGAAGCATTGAATTTATACTTTAAAAACTTATTCTTTAGTTTTTTTTTTCCCTTCCGAGATGAATACGCAACAAGTTGTGTTGCCAAAATCTTCTGCTAATGGATTTGGCCGTCGAAGAGGTGATAGAGAGGTTGGGGCTAGGTTGGAGAGTAAGGTGCAGTCTGGAAAATCCAATCAAGGAAGAATACAAACTACAGGTGAACATTCTCTGAAGTGAATTTCTTTATTACTGTGTCATAGTCTTCATCTAATACTACTTGGTATAGGTGCACTGGCTGGCGGGAAGACTGGTGGTTATGAGAGTTCTTCCCGTGATCGGTTAGTTTATCTGACAACATGTCTTATTGGGCATCCGGTGGAAGTCCATGTGAAAAGTGGATCAATATACACTGGAATATTTCATGCCACTGACGCAGAAAAAGATTTTGGTATGGTCTTTTATTTAAAGTGATTACGCTTCTGTAATTAGTTTTATAAATCGGTTTTGGTTCTATTAGAATTCTTGTGCAAATAGGTAGAACTTTGAAATAAAATGATTCAACTTCTCAACATCCAATCCCGTGCATCTTCAGGAATCATCTTGAAAATGGCTCGTTTGGTAAAAGATGGTACTTTGCGAGGACAGAAGGCTATTGCAGAGTTTGTTAGCAAGGCACCCTCAAAGATTTTAATTATACCAGCCAAAGAACTTGTGCAAGTTATAGCGAAGGTTTTGCTGATGTTCCTGTCTTTACAGTTCCATCTCTAGTTCAGTTGCTAGTTAGAAATGAAATTTCAAGTGGTTTATGTAGGGTTTCATAGGCTGTAAAGAGTGTGTTTCGGTTAGATAATTGTGAATGGTACTTTAAATATTTAAAACTTGGTTAAAACAAAATGCATCCAATTTATCACTTTTTTTTCTCAATTTTAATTTGGTTTTCAAAAAATGATTACAGGATGTGGCTGTAACCAGGGATGGATTTGCGAGTGAGCTCCAACCTGAAAAACATCTAGAAATTTTGATAGATTCTGCGATATCACAATCCCGTCATGTTGAGGTGGAGAGGGAGTTGGAGCCTTGGGTTCCCGACAAAGATGGTCCACAGTGTCCTGAACTAGAAAATATTTTTGACGGCCCATGGAATAGGTTACTATAAAGTTCTCTTCTTTCAAAAATATATCTTGCATACTTTTATTGTTCATACAACATAATTACTTCACCCCACATGCATCTAAATTGTTCTTATTATTTCTACTGCAATCACTCTTTCTGTGTATTAGACTTGATTACTTTGTTTTTAACTATTTTTCCTTGTTATTTTCCATTAAGAAATTGCCTGGAAAAAGGATTGTTGTTAGGAATTTTGTGATGTGATATTACTCAGGGAATCTTGTTTGAATGGCTTTAATATTGAGGAATCAATGATATCAACAAAAGATGATTTCTAAATAGATTTTTGTTTCTGCGTGGCTAGTATAATATGGAGGTGCTGTTTGAGATTTTAGTTTGTTATGTTAATCTGGCATGTCAAGAAATTATAAAATTCTTTTGTGTCATTGATGGGCCAATTGCTGCAATAATCAGGTGGAGTGTGATTTTGTTGCCAGTGATAGAAGGGTTTTTGAGCTATAAAGAAAGATACTGACAGCATTTGTTGAAATCTTGTAGTACATCTTTCCACTTTTGATGATCATTATGTGTTTTTCATTTTCTTTCTGTTTTTTCCACTTAGTTTCTGTAATATTATATACTTGCATTCTTAGGAACTGGGATCAGTTTGAAACCAATCAAAAGCTATTTGGTGTAAAAAGTACTTTCAATGAGGAACTTTACACAACAAAACTTGAGAGAGGTCCTCAAATGAGAGAGTTGGAGAAGGAAGCAATGAGAATAGCAAGAGAGATTGAGGGTGAGGAGACCCAGGACCTTCATTTAGCAGAGGTAACATTTTCATAATTTTATCGTTTATCTCTTAAGTTCTTTTATTGGTTAATTTGTCTTGTAAAATTTCTCACACTTTGCATATTGAATTTTTACCAGGAGAGAGGATTTCATCTTCATGATAATTTTGATATTGATGAGGAGATGAGGTTCTCCTCAGTCTACAGGGGTAGAGGGGTTGATGATAGTGGTTATGAGGAAGATGAGGACATAATGTTGGATTCCCACAACAGTGAGACCTTCGGAGATTCTTCTGGTTCTGTTAGTAGAAGGCCTACTGATTTGACCAGTTTGCAAAGCACTGATGGAGCTCGAGTGTCATCAAGCTCTTTCTTAATGGTAGTTATTGACCTGCGGAATCTGAGATGTTCTAGTTCTTTATTTGTTGATTGCAAATATATATTGTGATTAGTTGTATCTAATTTTATAACAATTTTTAGGTTGGTGTACTTATTTCTTTTTCTTCTAAAGGTAAATTAGGCAACCATTTCTACCTATGATTGAGATTATACACAAGATAACAATTTGGCCTTGACTTATATTGTCTCTAGGAGATTATTGAATTCTAATGCAAGGCACATTTCTAAATAAAATCTTACTTAATGACTTTTATATTAATTTTGGAGGCTTTGAATGTTATGAAAAATATATTTTAACTAAGTATAAGGGCTTACTTAATGAGTTGGCTTTTTTGGCCTAGGTGACTATTTGTGCAGAATTATATTTCCTTTTGTGATTGTGAATATTATCATGTTGAGAGTAGTTATATTGAGAGGCGTCAGAATGAATGGTTATTCTGTTCCATCAACAGTTTGGGATTAGGTTCCATTTTCAATGGGAAAATGTATTCTTTTCCTTAGAAGGAAAAGTATGGGTTGAGAAGGGCTGTTAAGAAAAGGGTTTGTGCACTGCCAGTACACCAAAAGAGGGGAAATAAAATTACAAGACTGGAATCATCATTAGTTTTGATTTTCTTGATGAAGCAAATTGGCTATTGGATATTATGGTGAGATACATATTTTCTTAGTGGTTCTATACTCAATTTTTGATCTAGACAGATTTTCATCTGATGATGAATTGGTTTGGGAGGTGGTATAATGGGTTATGGGAGGGGGGGTTTTCAGTTACTATTTGTAATGTTTACTGAAATTGATCATAAGTGACATTAGATGGAACTGCTGTAAAGGAGAAAGTGTACTTGAGAAGGTTCACATGCATTATATTTTTCTATTCTGTATTCTTTCAACTATAACTTAGATAAAGTACATCTTAATTTGCTTGTTGACAACATTGGGGAGATTGAGTTTTCAGGATGTTCCCAAAATGCTAATGGAATTTGAATGCAGAGGGAGCTGATAATCTGACTCGGAGTAGAGAGTGTAAGGTCTTTAGGTTGGTTGTTGGAAGTAAAAAAGTATAAGTGCCATGCATGTGCCACTTTGGACTACATTTTTGGGGATGGAATCACAGATTATATATATTTAATTGACGCTTCTGACTGTGTAGTTAATTATGTGAATTTCTTCTGCTTTTGTGCACGTTTTATTGATTCCGTACCATAGATCTTGTGGCTAAAGATTTTTTTTATTTACTGCACTACAAAAGATAATTGTACCATCAATGTTTGTTTGTGTCTGAATTTACTCCTTTTTGTGATCCTTTCCCTTTATAATATACTCCTATTTTTTTGGTTTGTAGGATGAGGCGCCATCTTCTCAAGCAGCCATTGGCACAGATTTGAACCACTCAGGCATTAATGATCAGGCCAGACAGCTGGCCTCTGAACTTCCTTCTAAAAGTTTCTCTGTCTCTGGCAGTGAAAGCAGGTCTTTTATCTTTTTCCTTTTTGACATGCCAACATTATGTATATTTGCTGATATATTTTGATTACCTGTTTCTGTCAGTGTAAGGAAATATTAGAAGTAATTACTATAAGAAATCGTTTCTTCGGACGTATTATAGGTGTTAGCTCTTTATATTTCTTAATTTAAACACTTGTAATGTAGGATCCAAGACAATTTGCTTGGTGAACATGGAGGAAGCTGTGATGCTAAAGAGTTTGCTGAAAAGCTGTCTGTAAGTTTAACTTCCATAGATAAGCAAATCTTGTGCAATGAATGTGGAGCTCCTTGTTTTGTTGCTTTAACTTGCATAACTGATTCATAACTCCATTGCAGCTCCTCGTTCTACTGCTTCTAGTCTATTTGCTTCTAATGTGCATGTTTTCTGTTTGAATTCCTGTTTAAATGCAGCCATCTGAGGACCTGCATTTGTCAAATTCTATTGGTGAGTATGCATTACTATCTGGATGCCTGCTTAATAGCCTATAAAATTGGAACTGCAATTGTCTTTTTATTATTTTGTACCCTATTAACTGCACTTAGTATTGCCGCTGCTGCTAGTTGTTTCAATATGCTGACCATTGAGCAATTTGTAATTCAGATTCTCAGTCATTATTGAATGACAAGATTGATGAGTCTGATAAAGGGGGGACATCTGCGAATCCTGGTACTCATGCTCCGTCTAATTCTTTGTCAAAGTTTAGTGAAAAACCAAGTTCTTCTGGTGAACTCTCAGAGGGTCCAGCTTCTAGCAAACTAGCTGGTGAAATACAATCTGTAAACTCCCGTGGACGACCTGGTAGTTCTACATCATCAAATTCAGATTATGTTGGTGCTGTCTCAGCATCTAGTGGCCCTGGCCTGTCACCAAGTTCGTCAATGGGTTCATTAACCTCTGAGAAATCAACACTGAATCCCCATGCAAAGGTGTATGATCTTTCTTTCTTTTATTTTCCCTTTCAGGTGCATGATAAGCCGATTCCAGCACAAATGAAGTTATAAACTATGAAGACTCTTAACCGTTCTTTTGTGTACTTTAACTTGATTTGTTGATTTCCTTTGGTTGTCTTTTCACTCATCTAACATCCTTAATGATGATCAGGAATTCAAACTCAACCCTAATGCAAAGAGTTTCACACCATCACAATCGCCTGTGAGGCCTCCATCCCCAGTGTCTGATGGTTCCTTCTACTATCCAACGCAAATGTCTCCTGTACCACATATGCACATGCCTGTTAGTTTTGGGGTAAGTTACTTAAAAGTGATTGCATTTTTTGTGAACACTGATTTTGCAAGGAAGAAATACAACTGACCTGCAACTATTGTGTTAGGACTTTCTTTTTCTTCAAATTTATCAATCTAAAAGCTCTTGATGTAGCTAGCTTACTGAAATTAATAAAATCTCGTTTCCTAATGTTTTCCTTTGGTTACTTATGCATCAGTTAATGCTGGACCTCTGAGTTATAAGGAGAGCTTTTATACAGTTGCATTGATTCTTTAGTAGCACTTCTTACACCATCATGAGAACACTTGCAAGGAAACAGTAAATAATATAGAAACATAGCAGATTTGTTTTTCCATGTTTCCTGTTATAACATCTGCGTGGGTTGATGGTTTAGGTGGGATTAAGTTAGGTTGATTTGACTGAGTATGGAAAAAACATTACCTGGGTTTAACCTACCTTTATCTCAGGTCAATAAGATACTCACTAAAACCTGTGACTTCATTTTACATTAATAATCTTTGTATTCAGTAATGTTTTACGGGATGAAGTTAAATTCAGCAGCATGTATTTTAACAAAAGAGAAGGGAAACTTTGGTATATGTTCTTAGCTATTAAGATTCACTTTCATTCTTACACGTGGAGCTTAAATTCGTTATAGATTTTTTTATCTTTTTCTATTCAAAATGTAATGCAGTTAGTCTATCTGTGTATTGTTGTTGATGATTGCATGGTTTTTGCAGATTGGACCTTCCTTTCCTGGGCACCAGCCTGTTATATTCAATCCACAGCTGGCACCAATACAATCACCGCCAGCATATTTCCATCCAAATGGACCTCAGGTGCAACCTTACCATTAATTTATTATTATCTTGACTGACACATCTTGATATACTTATTTATTATTTATATTCTTCAAACTTGCAGTATGGGCAGCAGATGCTTCTTGGGCAACGGCAACTGGTGTACTATCAACCTGTAAGTGGTTCTGAAAATTCTGAGTTTATGTAGTGTTTCATATATCTTTAGCTTGATGATATGACACTCTTTAAGTTAGCATAATAGAAACACTCCCATTTATTACTTGTGTGGTTCTGAATGATGGTTCCTGGAGAATTATCTTGATAAGAATTTTGGTGAAACTTTTTGTCAACTGAGTGCAACACTTTGTCTCTTTCCTGGGGAGGGTGAATACCATGAATAACATTTAGATCAGTTTCTTCTTTTTATTTGAAGAAAAAAAAGTAAAATAAATATGAAAGCCTTTGTTTTTGGTGTCTAATTTATCTAGAAGAATTCCACATCTTTGGAATCTTGATAGAACTGAAACCGTCTTTTGCAGGAAATGCAGTACAAGGGACGGGAATATTAACCAGTTAGTTTGCTGACAGCATTCTTGGGAGCTCTGCTCGAAAAGAATAAACTTTTGAGAGACTGCTTGGATCAATTTTCTCAAAACAAAGCCTAGCGGTCCAAGAAAGATCCTATAGGTCTTGATCACCCCATGTTCCAGGGAATGTTCACTCATGGTGGGAGATAAATTTTATAACCTTGTATGCTTCATTCACATCATGACTTTGGATTTCTAGCTTTTGTTAACTAACCTGTACTTCTTCTGATTGGTTGTTTTAATATTGATAGTTTTGGATCAATTTGTGGTGCAAAAATAGTATTGCCATCAATATTATTTTCCATTTATTTTATTTTCCTGGGATCTATCTGTGTACCCCCCCTGGTGGGGGGTGGAGGGTTAGGACAGTTGAGGAGATTGATGGCTAAATGCCAAGTTAAGGATATGTGAACTTCAATCATGTGCAATGTAGAATTTGATCAATTGAGAATATATATATATATATTAAAATGATGATGTCTCGTGTGCCACCTGTAACACTCTTTGCTATGTGGCTAAACCCTAAAATTGAATTGAAAAGGGCTAAATTGTACATTTGCACATTTAATGGAAGGTGGCGGTTGGCAATGCGGGAAAAAAAGGGGGTTTAAGAATTCTGCTGGATTTTGTAGAGAAAGTTTGAGTTTGTAGTATCAGAGAGGAAGGATCATGAAGAAACTCTTGAAGGAAAAGGAAGTCGCATGTTTTGGCATTTGCAAACAGCGTAAATACAATCATCGAGTCATCTCATCTCCAATGGAAGGGACCATTTTCCTTTTGTAGTCCTCTTACTTCTGACCGAATATGGACCGTTGGGCTTCTTTTTTTTTTACATTTTTTCTTTTAATCTACGTATCATGAAAATAAAAATAAAAATGAATACGTTTTTATTAGAGTATATCCTTAACTGTGTATCAAACATTTGGATAAAAAGAAATAAGTTTGGTACATTAGTCGCTGTTCACAGGGCATTGTCCTCTAAAGTTATGGGCACATTTGAATGGCCATAATAAATAAAACCTTATTATTACCATTAGGTTTTAATAGAAGATATCTCCGTGTAGGGTAAGAAACGACTTTAATAAAATCATTTACCCAATCTTGGATGGTTGACTTGTAATGAGATAATAAACATTAAACCCATTGCCAGCAAATTGAGACATGCATTAAATTCAAGGACCAAATTTTTAATCTCAACCGTTGTGGACACCACTCTTATTGGCTGTTACCGCACAACCTTTAACTTCATAAGTTTTACTCATAACTTCATGTAAGTTCATAAATTTTTAAAATGTATAAATCACTTCAAATGTATAAACGATATTAACAGATAAATGTGAAATATTTAAAATATTTTTTTCTCTACCCTTATTTATTATTTTCTTTTCTTGCAGGTTGGTTGACAATGTTTCTTTACACCAGTTAATTACTTCGCGGTTGAATTGACCATAAAATACCAAATTTGGCCAAATCTCTCCAAACGCTAACTGGCTAAATCTATCCGTGGGGTGATAGACTGGTAAAAGATAAAATAGAGTTTTTTTTTTCTTTGAATAGGAGAGAAAAAAATTAAAAATAAAAATTATAATTTATATAATATAATAATTTTTAAAATTAATAAATAATAAAATTATTTAAAAAATATTATCACATTATTAAATTAATAAAAATATTAATAATTAATTAACAGCTACACTTATATATTTAATAAATTTTTTTAAAATAAATTATATATTTTTAATGTTAATAAATTTACGTAAAATTATGAACAATAATTAAAGAGATTAGTATATTTTACCTACTCAATAAAGATATTGGTGTGGGGGTAGGAAGGGAAGATGGACGTCCAAAGCAAACCAGCCTTATCCTTTTGTTGTTCTTGTTAAGTCGTTCCCATCTAAACACAAAAACTGAAAGTCAAGGTCAAGGCCATCTCTATCCTCAGAAGGTAAATATTTATAGAAAGGCCTAGGTTAGGTGAAAGTTTGGATAAATCTTACTAGGGTTTCTGACCTTTTCAATTCGAGCTGAGCAAAGAGCAAAGCACTGGGAGGGGAAAAGGAGTGTTGGGAAGGGTTGACTGCTTGCTGTTCCTTTAATCTTAATTCAATTATTGTAATTATTATTGTTATTTAATTTTTAAAATAGATGACACAACTAGTGACATCTAAAGTGGACACATCGCTTCTTTTGTAAGCAAATGCCAAAGTGAAAGGGGCAAAGGCCGCTGATCTTCTCGAGCCTTTTTTTTTTTTTCTCATTCCATTCTTCTTTTGACCTTTCTTTTGTGGATAATGATTGATGATCAAACAATTCTAGTAAGAGCTCTACTCTCTTTTTCTTTTTTTTTTTTGTTTTTATTTCTATTTTTATTTTTATTAGATGATGATTAATTATTTAACGTTATCGTACTAGTTTTTTCACTTATTAAAAATTTATTTTAATTCAAATTTATTTAAATTTTGATGTATTTTTAAAGATCCAGACTGTTAACTTAATGAAAATCTTTCCTTATTAATCCAAAAGTTTTGACTCCCTTAACTATTTCTGCCATTTTCAAATCATAATACCAATTTCCCAGTAAATTATCAAACATAAACTGTCAAAAGTGACAAAAATTTTCAATAAAAACTCAATGGATTTATCATCTATTACAAATAACACACAGTTCAAGGGGGAGGAGATGGATAAAAAAAGTGTTAAGGGGAAGTACAAAAGAAAACACGCGATGTGACAGCGCGTGAAGAGCTTGCAGGTGAAAATGGACGGGGGCCGCTGTGGGGGGCGGGGCGGCTGAGGCTATTCAAGAGAGCGTAGATTTCCAAAAAAGGACAAAAAAAAAGAAAAAAAAAGAAAAAGAAACTTTGTAAAGGGGTTAAGAGGGAAAAAGACGTCTGCAGCAGTTCTGAGAGAGAATTTATTGCAAAAGCAATATATTACGCATTTACACAACACGACAAAAGACCCAACACTAAAAAAATACAAATGAAGAGGCAATATAATAATGAAAACCAAAATGAAAAAGACAATTTCTTTTGTTGAAGTAGCAGAGTGATGATGATGGTGGTGGAGAGGTAATGGTGCTGAGCTGAAAACCCAGAATTTTAGAATGAGTTTTTAATCAAGTTGTGTAGTAATATTATCCATACGGAAGGTTTTTTTTTTTTTTGGTGTTTTATCGTAAAAAGAGAAAAAGAGAAGAAGACCCAGAAGGCCAAAGGGTGAGCTTTTTATATTTTGTTGTGAACAAGGAAGGGAGGGAGTCAGGGAGACATGCACAAATCCAAGCTTCAAGAACAACACCCACTTGTGTTATTTCTCTCTTACTTTTACCAAATCCCAAAGGTATTTCTTTTCTTCTGGGATTATTTTACAGTTTTGTTTTATCCAATGCTTCGTCTCTGTATATGTGTCTTTCTGCACAGATTGTATACTCTGTGTGTGTTTTTCATTGGATTTAGTTTGCTAGGAATGTTTTTTTGTTGTGTCTATTGGGCGATAGGCTTTGAACATGCTTGGATATTGAGCCTGGGATGGTGGGTTTGAATTTGCATGTTTAGCTGATTTATGGGTTTTCTTTTATGTTTTTGGTTCAACTTGCAGCTCTCTCTTCGGATTCTTTTGGTGGTGGGTTTTGCATGCATGGAAAGACTTTTGAGTTTGATATTCTGTAGAGCAAGCATCCATTCAACTTTCTCTTCCCGTGTGTTCTTCCCCTCCCCCTATTAAAACATCCTTGTTTTTAATCTCTTCCTTGGGTAAATGGTTGTCAGTACTTGGTGTTCTTGTATCAAACAATTCGATATTAACATAACAAGTTAGCAACTGCTACTTCTGTTTTCCTATTTACTGGTTTTTTCAATAGTTTCCCTATCCTTCTCTCGTCACCGTCCGCCATAACTGAAAACAGATGCTTATGATTCGTAGTTGCTGCATTTTTATAAGTGAAAATGGAATGGTTTCTTCTATTCCCTCCCTTTTACTCCAGCATTATTTTCCTTATTGCTGTCTTTTCATCGATTCATCGTTTTTATCATAATTTTCATATATACTTTCTGTGCTGAGTGAGGCATTATCACCTTAAACAAGTCCATAGAAATTTGCAGTCTAATTAATCAATCTGATGGCATGAGTGAATGCAACTTCAGAGGATGAACTGCAATTGGTTGTGTGGAGCTCATTTATATAATAATTATTTCCTTGAAACCAATTTCCTTTTCTCTATTTTTTGATAGCCTTTGAGTCTGTAGGAGGCTCCTAGAGAGCGTTCTTTGTCTACCACTTCTTTTTGTATTTAAGTTTGGAGTGTACCATGGTTGCTTTCTGTATTTGTTCCTCCTTATTCATTGAGTATACTTTAGTCAGACCAATAAATTTTCCAATACTTGGTGAAAGATGGCTTGCATCATTTATTTCTATATTCTCTAATTTAAATATTTAACACTGTGACTGTGTGTGTTTTGGTGCTAGGTCACTGATGAGTGAGCAAACTAAAAAATAGCAGCAAAGATTTCCTGTTAACATTTCTAAAGATCTTTTTGGAATCCCCTCGTAAGTCAGGACATTTTGAATAGTAGTTTACCGCAATGCAAAACTTGCATAAAAAGGATTCTGGTGTAAGTTCTCATTCAATGTGCACTTATGTGCTTGGCTGCTCATCTTGGGGCAACTCAACTGAAACTCATGTCCAGCAATCATCTGTGTCTGAAAGATTAAGCCTGAAGATGGGAGTTCTGCCTCAACAATTTCACAACACCAAGCAGCTTAGTTTTCAATTTCAAGACCAGGACTCATCATCAACTCAATCAACTGGTCAATCTTACCCTGAAGTGGCTAGTGCTGGAGACAGCAATATTTATGGGCAAAGTTTAATTTCAGCATCATCAGGTCTTTGTGTATACCCAGTACTCCTCATTTTGATTAGGCCCTTGCTGTAGGTGTGGGATACTGAATCAATCAGTATGATTTTTTTCCTTCAATATATATTTGGGATTTGTTTTATTAGCAAATGTCTAAGGTTTTATTCTTTACCAGGAACTACTTATGTTTTTAATTTATATGCATGTTCTGATGGGATTACTTCTCTTATATTCGAGTAAAGTGCTTAAAATAGAAGAAGGGAGGTGTAAATCTATATGCTAAAGGGACTGTTTGGTTTCACCTTGCTACCTGGCTGTACATATTAATAAACTGCTACACCTGTGACGGAGCTTCCCTTACCATTGCATTCCAAAATATTAGTTCTTATGTTATATTAATTGGATTTTTTCCTTTCTCGTTCCCTGATGGTACATCTAATTGGCTGTTCTTGCTCCTGTTCAGGAGGTAATGAAACTCATGGGAATCTTTTTGGAGGTCATGCTAAATTAGCCTCCTCATTGGGAACTCAGGACTGTTTCTTCCCACCTTCCCGAGTTGACCATAACAAATCAACTGTAAGTTATTACTTATGCAGTTTGGCTGCTCTGTGGATGCATCATAGTCTTATTTATCATATTCGTATATGTCATGTTTCACACTGCAGGCTCATATTCCACTCCATTATGCTGAACCATATTTTGGTGGTGCCGTGGCTGCTGCTTACGGACTGCAAGCTGTGGTAAGAATTTTGTAGTGTTTATCAGGTTCCTTTGCTGCACTGCTGTCTGTTTCACTGCAGTCACTGCAGTCTGGCGTATTATCAATTCGAAGAAAAGAGGATGGTTGCTTCTGAAACCTTGTTTAATAGCATAAGTGATTTCTATAGAAGTCAATCATACCTTTCATTGTGATTATCCCAAATATAATCTTCTCTTTGAGGAATCTCATAAAAAACGTAATTGAAGGAACCTAGACTTTTAAAACCTGATTAAAGGATCTAGTCCTTTCATTACTATAAATGCAAGCTTGATACTGTAAATGAATTTGAAAGCTTAAGTCACAGGATAGGTTGTTCATTTTTATAAAATATAGATGCTATAGACCACTAATTTAATCCATTAGCACCTTCCTGGTGTCATGCATTCTTTGTTTTATATAAAGAATGCACAAAAAATATTATGCTGGCCTTGTGGATTCTTCAACGTTCATTAAGCATATCCATAAGCTATTCTACCTCTTATTAATTTCTTTAATTCTATTTCACTTTGCATCTTACTTTACTCTTATTCTTCTTTGCTTTTCTTATCAAATTGATTCTCTATTGGAGATAAGCTTTTCTTTCATGCTTTCATTGTATGAAGTGGTTTTACTATATGAAGCATGAAAGATGCAAAAGAACTGTGCAGAAGTGAGATTATTCTTGTCAACTGTCTTTAAGTAGCTGGAAAAAAAAAACTCAAGAGGTTATTAGATATCTTATTTTATATATTTTATTCTATAATTTCTGTCTTGTGAATTCTGCACTAAAGTGGTTTTTGATTCAGATTCTGATTTTGTGTCGCAAAATCAATGAATGCCCTGAAAATCTATTTAAGCGACACCCTTTCCCATGTATGACCAGACAAAAATGTGTCTTCTTTGTTATCCATTTGTGAGATATTTGTCATTGCATTTTCAGCAGATTCATCATCATCATATGATGGCTATGCTTCCTGCTCGAGTTCCACTGCCTCTGGATCTTACAGAAGATGAACCTATTTATGTTAATGCAAAGCAGTATCGTGCTATTCTCAGGCGGAGACAGTTTCGTGCCAAGCTTGAGGCCCAGAACAAACTCATCAAAGTTCGAAAGGTATGTCTCTTAAAGGTTTTGCTTCTTGCTTCACATGAACTGCGACGTTGCCCATGATGGTAGTCTGTTTATATGGCTTACAATGATATTATCTGACAAGTAGCTTTATAAATATTTGCAGCCGTATTTGCATGAGTCTCGACATCTTCATGCTTTAAAAAGAGCCAGGGGTAATGGTGGGCGATTTCTTAACAAAACGAAATTCCAAGAATCGGAGCATATTCCATCAAGCCATGGACTGGACATGTCCAGGTCTACTCAGCTAGATTTGTCGGCGAAAATCTCTGAATCAGAAGTTCATCAGGTGGAAAACTACAAAGATGCTACATCCACCACCTCTTGCTCCGAAGTCACGAGTGCCTCCAACAGTGATGAAATGTTTCAGCAGCCAGATTTCAGGTTCTCTGGCTATCCTTCTCACAATGGTGGAGCCTTGCAAGGTCATGGTGGCAATATGCATGGTGGTGGGAACCTCCATCATCTTTCTGGTCTCTGCTGATAGGCGAGTTAACAAATTCTTGTCTGAGCAGTTCGTATATGGTGCTTCAATGGAAGATGCGGCTGCTTTGTTCCCATGGGAAGTCATCCTTGGCTCTGTTTAATATCCTGTTTAGTTTACTTTGCCTTTCATGAGACTGTTTCAAACCATGGACATGGAGTTTTTTCTTTCCTTAGCGTGCGACTTTTAACCGTATGTTCCTTTCGTTCAACGGTTTTGGTGAATTGGTGACGTTTAAGATAAGTGCATGCCTTGGGTAGTAGAGTTTCAATTCCATATGCCAACTCTGCATGCTTATGGAAGAATTCCTTAAATTCGCTTTAGTTGAATGTTTCCATTTCTAGTAAGAGTCATTTAGACAACGAGTGCATCAATTATTTTGCTAAGATACAGGTACCCATTTTGATTACTATTGGCAAGGTGCATTCATGTACTTGACACAAAACACTTTTGGGTCTGAAAGAATGAGAAACTTCAAGCACAGCAAGCTCCTGGAAATGCTCCCTTTTTGCTTACGCTGATGTGGTTGATGTTCTAGCTAGAGAAGATTAGCTTCATGATTCTAAAATTGAACGCTTAGGGCCGATTTAAAAGCAATGATTAGTTCTGTTTTGCTCCTTTTTCGCAAGTTGTGTGCCAAACTTGAATGTCGGTTCTAACTTTTTAATACTGGTTAAGGGGAGGAACATGTATAAGGCAACGAAGGGGTGGAACAATTTTCCTCAGTTTTGTCAAGTTTTTATGTGTTTCGGTATTTCTTCTTCTCTATCCTTCAATATTCCTATTTTTATTGAAAATAATTGACATTTTTGTGCTAAGGGTTTTGGGTTTGATTTGAATAAAGAGAGATTTTTATTCCATCTTTTACTTAAAATTATATATATTCATTATTAAATCAAAATTTCGATTTCAAGAGTTTTTTTTTTAAATTACTACTTAAAAAAGAAAATTTAAATAATTTTTTTCTTATATTAAGTTCAATTAAATTATTTTATTTTGGATAAAATATTTTATTTTTTAAATTTTAATCTAAATTTTAAATGAAATTATTAGTTTTGAAATAGATATTTCGTTTTAAAATATACTTTTAGGTGGATACATAAGTCTTAGTTGTGTTTTTATTAATTGAATGATGTGATAATATTAAAATAATAATTTTATTTTTTATTAATTTTAAAAAATAAAAAAAATCGATTGATTTTTTTAAAAAATATAATAATTTTTTAAATTAATAAAAAAATATTTTATTTTTTAATAATTTTTATTAATGGTGTTTACACATTTTAGGATGAAAAGTTTATTTTAAAAATTAATAAATCAAATTGAAATTTTGATTAAAATTTAAAAATTTAAAGAAATTTAACTTTTTTATTTTAAATCAAATATGGTTATGACTAATGGTGAATTATTATAATCAAAATATTATTATTATTATTATTTTATATAATATTAACATATCATAATTAAAATAATTTTATAATATTTTTCACTTTTCACGATAATTTACCTTGATATTTTTCATTTTTTTACTTTATATCAATATAAGTGATTGATATTTTGACCGAAAAAATTGTTCACCTTAAAAAGAAGTTATTACAATTAGAGGAGCAAACACTACGTTCTCAGATCCGATCCATTACTATCTTTAACATTCAGCAGCGATGAAACTGCTCCTTTCTTCGGCTTCCTGGGGGCCGCGCTGCCCTTGTTTTCTCCTGTATGGGAGCGGCTTACGGGACCGCAAACAGTGGGGTTGGTGTAGCGTCGATGGGGGTGACGAGGCCGGAGCTGGTGATGAAGTCGATCGTTCCTGTAGTTATGGCTGGTGTGCTCGGTATGTATGGCTTGATTATTGCTGTTATTATTAGTACGGGAATTAATCCCAAGGCTAAGTCTTTTTACCTTTCCGATGGGTACGCGCATCTGTCTTCTGGCCTTGCTGGTCATTCCGCTGGTATGGCTATTGGGATCGTTGGTGATGCTGGCGTTAGAGCTAATGCACAGCAGCCAAAGCTAGCTTTTTGTTGGGATGATCCTCATTCTCATCTTCGCTGAGGCTTTCGCACTATATGGTTTGATTGTCGGCATTATTATTCTCTCTTCCAGAGCTGGTCAATCAAGAGCCGAGTGAAAGAAGGCCTAGCTAGTGACGGCACGGTTGGTTGTGGTTCCTGCGGGCGGAATAGTTTCATTTATTTTTCTTTCCTTTTGCTGGTTAGAAGAAGCATATTGGTTTTGCTCAGGTGTCATATGTTTCTACAGATTGAGAAATTTGCAGTGGCTGATGATAAGATTAGAGATTTAAATTAGTTGTCTCACTAAAGTTTGCCAACTTTATTTCATTATTAAAATATGCATTTTTGAATAAAAAATATTTTTCACTCGATTAAATATAATAAAAAATAAAAGTTTTATTTAATATTTTTTTAAGAATTTTTTAAAATATTCTTTAGCAATAACTTCTAAGTAACGTTTTCGACCATTAAAACGAAATTCTAAATTGTGAGTCCCGCGCCTGAACACAGCAAACCAGATAATGAGGTGTCGTTCTCCAACCTCCACGTCACCAATTGTAAACAATAGCTGACCGCATGGAATCTCTCCTTTTACTCGTTTTCGTTTTTCCTATATTTTGAGACGAATTTTGGATACTCGGACACAAGGCCCTTCTCTCAAATATAGTTAACCCGACCAACAAACCCAGATTCAAATCCGCTCCAACTTGAACCAACCTACCTATTAAGTCCATCACCAAATCCAAATATTCCCACTCTATCCTCCTCCTCTCGGCAGCCCCAAAGACAATTATGATATAGTCCTTCATGTATATATCAGTAGTAAAAGAAATGATGTCTCATTTGGACAAATAACAAAACGAAGAGTGAATTTTTTTTCTTTTTTTTTTTTCGGTTTGAGAACAGAAGAGGAAGGGTGTAATGGAGGGAGGAGGAGCTCAGTATAATCCTCGCACAGTGGAAGAGGTTTTTAGGGATTTCAAAGGCCGAAGAGCTGGCATGATCAAAGCACTCACCACAGGTTTCTGTTTGTTTCCCTAGAAAACTCAAAATAGGAACTCAAAGCTGCTGTTGTGTTTTGAAAGCTCAGTTTGAATTTTTGAACTCTTAAGCAGATAAGAAAATACTAACTTAATGTTGTTTTGGGTTTCACTCTTTTTTGTTTTTTCGTTTCCTTAAAAATGCGGTTTGGTTGGTTTCTCTTTTATTCTTTTATAGTTTTTCCTTTGTTTTTTTTTTTTTAATTTTGTTTTGCTTTATGTTTGGTTGGCCAGGAATTTTCGTTTGTTTTTTTTCTCTCTTTATTTGTTTTAAGATTTTTTCCCTATGATTGCCTGACTCGTTTTTTGATATTTGATAGATATTTTAGGAATGCAAATAGAAAGGAAAAGTAAGCTTAGAATTGTATATCTTTCTGTTTTTGTTTTGAGGGTTTTTCATCAAATTTATTACCTTTTTTTTTTTTAAAATTATGAGTTTTTACTATGCTTTACACTTTTAGTTTAGTGAACCTTAATGTGGTTACTGAGAAACTATGGAATAAAATTAAATTATGTATCCGAATGTAAGTCAAAGTTACTGAATTTTTATTTTAATTTACTATGAATTTCCTTGGGTTTTTAATTTTATGTTTTGCTCTTGTATTTTGCTCCAATTAACTTAATGACTACTGAGAAAATGTAGAAGGGGAAATAATGTAAAATGCAATGTCAGTTTAAATTTAAAATTTAGTATGGGTTCATTATGAAAATAAAAGGAAAATATGCATTTGATTGTATTTTGGTATTGGTATTTTATTAGGTGCATTTGTCACTTTAATTGGCTTTCATGTGGTTACTGAAAAGGATTTAGCAGAACAGAACGAAAATTTAAGTATGAATTTAGTGTTTCTTGTTATTTTCTTTTTTGGGTAATTAAACTGATGGATTTGTCTACTCTAGCTAATAGAAGAGAAAAGTATTTGAAGTCTTGTTGTTTAGCGTAATGGTTTTTGAGACTTATTTGGTTTCTTAATGGGATTTGGTTATGTTGTGTTGTAGATGTGGAAGAATTTTATCAGCAGTGTGATCCTGGTAAGGCTTGCTACTTTCGATCCCTTTCATTGTCTTATATACAAATGCTTTTACAACAATTTATTAGGCACTTGTAAATTATTTTGTTTTACTTTCTGGCTGTAATGTGTGTAGAGTTCGCTTCACCTTTTTTGTAATGGCTAATTTTGTATGCTGTTATGAGTGTTGAATGGTCTGTAATTCCCTTTTAAAGGTAAAGCAAAGGAAATTTGGTGTGTCTCCCAATAGATTTTTTGTCGTTTTTGATGGTTGTCTCAATGTGGGTCTAGGATTGATAGGACCTGCAGATAACAGTCTATAAAGCTTTTGCTGTTATTACCCTTGGTTTAAAACACGTGGAGTGCATAGCCTGGTGCTGATATACATGCTGTGAGCAGCAGATTCTTGTACTTTTGACCACAACATTTGTAACTGCTGTTATTGAATTCATCGCGAGTCTCCTCCCTGCATTTCCTGTTTGGTCACGTTGTTCACTTTAGATATCAAAATATTAAATATAAGCAATTCAGGTGGGTATATGTTGTGTTGTTCTTATCAATCATCGTGATTGATACACAAAGATGCATAAAATTTGAAGGCATGATTGGTGATTGTTTATTTTTGCTCGGCACATATGCACTCTTAACCTTTTGTGACTGTGTTGTTGCAATAAAATCTGATTTCTGAGTAATGGAATTTTCTCAATTAACTTACTTTCTCTACCTTTCCCTTTTTATGTAGTTTGTATTTATGATTGCTGCTTTTCTCCTACTCTCACTTTCTACTCTCTTTCTCTCTCCCTTTTCCTCCATTTTTTCTAAGAATATCTTTCCTCAGGGGAAGAGGGGTGGGTTGAAAGTTTAGTCTAAACTGGTTTCTGGAGGAAAGCATAGTTCAACCAATAGAACATCTAGGTGTGTGGTTTAAATGTTATTTCCTCTTCCTCACCACCAAAAGGAAAAATTAAAAAGAGGAAAAAGGTGTTTTCCCGCTACATTGTTGTTTGCTTTTGTTGTTCTGAATGTGCTCAAGTGTGTATGTGGCTGCTCCTTAATATATAAGGCAGACATGTGGAGAGCCATCTGAGGTGTTTGTGTGTTGGATACAAACTTTCCTTGTATTCTTCAAGTTTTTCACTTCACTCTGCCTTTGCTGCAAGGTTTGTGTACATATTTGCTTGTATTTTTTATTATTTATTATTGTATTATGACTTGTGGCTTTGTTTTTGGTTTTATTTCCCTGTGTTTTTATGGAAAGGGTTGTTATTATTATTATTTTAAGAGGGGGTGGGAAAGTTAGTTGTGCTTGAGCATGCAGTCAGTTGTAGATTGTACTGAACATTCTGGTAGGTTTTTAGTCAATCAAAAGGTGCTTTATTTTTGGGGTGACTACTTTGCTACAGATCAGCCTTTTAGTTTAGAGGCCTTTGCTGACTTGGTATCGTTTGATATTATTGTTTTATTGATTGATAACTAGGTTTGTAATCTTCTTTATTACCTAGTTGCTAGTGTTTCAAGTTTGTTGATTCTCATCCACGTGGCCTTTATAAGCTATGTTCTTTTATTTGCAGAGAAGGAGAATCTGTGCTTGTATGGCTTCCCAGGTGAACAATGGGAAGTCAATTTACCTGCCGAAGAGGTCCCTCCAGAACTACCAGAGCCTGCCTTGGGTATTAACTTTGCAAGGGATGGTATGCAAGAAAAGGACTGGTTATCTTTAGTTGCTGTCCATAGTGATGCATGGCTGCTTTCAGTTGCCTTCTATTTTGGTGCGAGATTTGGATTTGATAAAGCTGACAGGTATGTCAAGTGATGCAAAATTTTACTCTTCTATATGTTTTTAGTTGAACCAAAAGCAAGTTACGGATGGCCTTAGTTTGTTAGTTAGTTATTTAGGTTTCCTTTTTTGTTAATTCTTTTTTTTTTTTTAGTTTCTGTAAAAAATTGAGGATATTTTTCTTCTTGTTTGTGAAGGAATACGTTTCTTTATTTTGGTCTTTAGAACTAGATGTTTGGCCAATAGCTATGTCTATCCTCCATTTTTGGTTTTCCCTATTAATTTCCCCCTCCTGATCTCTCTCTGACTACAGAATTGAGCTCTTCTGATTAAGTGGAATGATCTGCTGTGATATAATGGTCATTAATTTGATCTATTCAATGTGATAATTGTGTACAAACTTGCATGCATGATCATGTGTGCCTGACTTGCAATGTTTGACTCATAAGGTGCAAGCCTTTAGTGCTGAAAGATAGAAAAATTAATAATAATTTGTTTGATTTTATGCTTTTTTGTTTGCTTCATTATGTAATATTTGAGCATCACATGCTTGCTTATGGGCTATTAGGCTATTAAGCTTGCTTGCAGAGTTCATGCCGATGGCCTTGTGGTCTAATTGGCATGTCCCTCCATTGTAAAGTAACTTGGTTCTGGCAGGCCTGGTTCTGGCCTGCCCAGTAGGGTTAGGCAAGGGTTGCGTCCTATTGAGTAGCCCAGCCTTTGGACCTAAAAGGATTAGACGAAAAGGGTTTAGGTGGATTTGATTGAATCATGTCAGTCAACCGAAGGCATGTCTGGTTGTAGTTTCTTAAAGGATTAGAGTAAGTGCAGGATGAAAATTAAATGAAGTTTGATACACTCAACTAGGAAATTGATTGTTTCCTTGATATTTGTAGTATTCTGTATATGCATTGGATTATAAAATGTGATGCTGGTATAATGTGTTTCCTTTGATACAGAAAACGGCTTTTCAACATGATTAATGAGCTTCCAACGATATTTGAAGTTGTAACTGGTGCTGCCAAGAAACAAACAAAGGAGAAGTCATCGGTATCAAATCATAGTAGCAACAAATCAAAGTCCAACTCCAAAGTGGTAAAGGAATTTCTGTGCATAAATCTTGTTGTTTGGCATAGATATTTTAACTAATATATATGTGGCAACTATCCATGCTTTTGTTTTACGACTAGTCACTGTATTGTTTTACGACTAGTCAATGTATTATCATTTCTTATATTTTAATCAAAATTGTGTTACATTGGAGAACTTCCTTCTTTACCATGTGAACAAGAGCTTTCAGGTAGAATATATAAACAGCAAGTTCAGTTGTGTGGTTGTGAATGTCCAAGTAGTCGTTATCATGTTTCCTGCTGTATTGTTGTTCAAGATTAGTGCTTAATTTTTTTTTGGTCAAAGATCGGGCAACTGATTGAAGTTTACTTTTATGGCTAAATCTTTATTATTCATTTGTTTTTGGTGTTGATTTTGTTATGATCAGAAGGAATCTCAGGCAAAGTATTCAAAACCATCTCAGCCAAAGGATGAAGATGAAGGCTTGGATGAGGAAGATGAGGAGGAGCATGGAGAGACCTTGTGTGGGGCTTGTGGCGAGAACTATGCATCAGATGAGTTCTGGATATGTTGTGATGTCTGCGAGAAATGGTTCCATGGAAAGTGTGTGAAGATCACTCCAGCTAGAGCCGAGCACATTAAGCAGTACAAGTGCCCATCATGCAGCAACAAGAGATCTCGCCCTTGATATCATGAAAATATGCTGTGTGTGTGTGTCTCTCTCTCTTTCTCTCTCTCTCTCTCTCCCCATTTGTACTTTTTCTCTCGGTGTACTCTGCTAACTGTCCTGTTAATCAGTTTGTGTCTTTGATGTAGACTAGTGCGGCATGTGAATGGTCACTTTGGTCTAGAAAATCTCAGTTTTCAATACTATTTATTTGTAGTTTAGTTTTATGATCATTCCCTTGTGAAACATTTTGGAAATCTTTTGATTTGATAGGGAATTCTGTTATGTGTTAAAAGATTCTATCCTTCCCAGCTGATTGAATATCCGCTTCATGATGATGGAGGTCTCATAACAGAACGGGTAAGTAAAGAAAAACATATCCGTAGCTGGACTGGCGTGGGCTAGTTCAGTGAGTTGAGTGAGACCCGAGAAATATAATTACTTGGTCAACCCGACCCACTGCTTCTGCATGAGGTGAGATTTAGAATCATTGCCCAATCTTATCCAATTCCAGCTAAATAGCAAAGGGCTCCCAATCCCACTATATTTAATCAAAGTATACAAATACGCAGCACCCAGTGACTGTTCTGGGGCTTAAATTATTCTCTTTTCCATAAACCAGTTTGAAGTAATGCCTTTACCATTGGCTCAACTAGACTTGGGTTACAGGCTGCTTATTCGAAGATGCAAAAAATTAATCATGTCATTGCCTTTTAACTATGGATTATTTTTAAAAACAATGGTAGCAAATAAGACAAATGTTAGCTAAAATAGGAGTTTGGAGTGTTTAAAGAAGATATAGTAGGCCAATGACTAACTAGTTATTTATTTTAAATAGTACTCCCAAATTCCCAATTTTCATATCCATCCAAATCTTCTGAGGTGGGCACTGGTAGGCCCACCACAATAAAGTTACTATCCATTATCCACCACGACACACCAAAGAAAAAACACACAAGCACAGGATTATCCCAACTTCCTTTTCCCCACCCACTAACATCTGCCGGTTACTCATGAACCAGATCTCAACAACGGTTCAGATTTAATCAACTGAAATACATAAAATCATGCTTTTCCAAGATTTCAATCGAAACCATTAAAAAAGAAAACCCTAGATTCCTCAAGGTCATGTACAACAAGATGCCACTCCCACTTTCTATCAAAGGAATCTTGAGAAACATGATAAATTGATGACAAATGGAACAAGTCAAGCACAGGCAGGTGAAGATGAACCCACAAAGTTTAAATATCCTTTATAAATTTGATGTTAATCCAAGATTAAGTATAGTGAGAACAAAGAAAGAGATTTATATTTCATACTGAGATAAACCTGCAGCCAAATTACATTCACCAACCTTCTTCGACAGGCAGTAAGGCAGGCTAACTTGAAAGAAAGCAAAGAAAGAGATTTCAACAGAGACAAGAAAAGAAACATTAAAAGGATGATTTAGACAAAGATCAGGAAGAAAAAAACCTCCGTTTTTCCATTCTTTTTACTTTTAGTTAACCACTATTCTTCTTCTTCTTCTTCTTCTTCTTCTTCTTCACTACATCAAGCTCTCTTGATTCTTGGCTGAGAGCCGTTTCAGGAACTCGTAGGTAGTGATCATTGTTGTTGCAGACATTGACATGGACGCCCACCGTGGCCCCAACCCTCTATAACAAGCCAACCACCCACCTTCTTTAACCAAATTCCTAACAGTTTGCGCAATTGTTGGTCCACGCCTTCCATTCTCTTCCCCATCCAAAACCTGCAGTCTAGTCTTGATTGTATCAAGTGGCATTGTAATCAAAGCCGTTACCCCCCCAGCCAAAGCTGCGCTGACTCCCTGGACTGCCATAACCGTCTTCGAATCAGGCCTAATTGTATTATTATTACTACTCCCGTTCTCATTACTCTCATCATCTTTTTTCCAAAAGTAACATCCAATGCCTCCCCAAACAAACCTTTGAGCGACGGAATAAGATGCCCACCAAACTGCATTAGATGGGGCATACGTTATAATTGATATCCCAAAACCTCTATACAATCCCTTTGGACCATCAGTGTTAATAATTTTCCTAAACGCGTCGATCCCATTTACATATCTACAAGGTGAACTACAACTTGGGTGGCTTCCTTGAACCATTAATCTCTGGCTAACAACGTCAATGGGGGTCCAAACAAGCTGCGCAGCCATTGCAGCACTTAATCCAGCAACAGCATTAGCAATGGCCGCAGCCGATGGTTCAGGAACACCAAGCTTAACCGTGGCACTCCCTACATTGCTTTTGGTAACCTCAAGAGCTGCCATGTAAAGAGCTCGAGCCGGGATTGTTCCCGTTAAAGAAGTACCGAATCCGCGGTATAAGGCCCTGAAACCTTCGTGTTTAACTATGGAAAAGGCCGTTCGGATACCGGAGAGTTGAGTTTGAGCAACTTGTTGCCTTGTTTTAACCAAAACTACAGGGTAAAGAGTAGCTGAAACACCTGAGAACAGAGCTGCGCCTAACAAGAAAACTTGGATTTGTCAAGCATTTCCCAATCTATATCGGCCGGGATATGAATCTCTTGCGCCGATTCTCCCTCGGCCGCGCTTATATTCATCTTTGCCACTTTCCAATACCGAACCCAAAACTCACCCCCCCCCCCTCCCAAAAAAGAAGCAAATATCTAACTTTTTATATCACAAAAAACTGTACAAAAATCAACAATTTAACATCCAAACTGTACAATTAACCAAAAACCCAACACCACCTTAACAGTCAATAGTCACCGTCCGGGTGAGATTAAAAGCAAAGTAAAAGCAATGAAGAAGGGGTTTTTTTCCTCTTGCGAACCAGGTTTTGGATCGAACGTTAATCACCGCAAATGGATCTATCATTTCTTTGGGTACTCACAAAGCACCAAAATTTTTAGCTTACCGGAGACACAACCATCGTCGTCCCCGGCGACGGAACTTTCACCGGTAAGTTCGGATCTCGCAAGAGAAATTAAAAAAAAAACAAAATACTAACAAATGAAAAAGCACGAGACTAAAAAGGGAAAAATTGGAGTTCTAGAAAGACATTCTCGATACTGCGAGAGAGAAGGAGATAAGAGAGAGAGAGAGAGAAATGGGTAACCGGAGATTAGAGGGATAAAACATGGGGAGGAAAGAGAATGAGCCGTACTGTGAAGAGGGGGAAACAGACAAGTGTCGGTTAGGAATTAGGCACTTTTATTGTTTATCCGAAGGTTTTGATTCTCCGCGGTTGTTTCAATCGGATGGCTAAAATTCCGGCATTTGGATGCGTGGGATTTGGCAAGGGCGATTAAAAGAGGGGTTTGGATATTTGTTCACTGTAGGCCTTGAATGTACAGGATTTCGGCCGGTTGTCAGTAAGATGACGTGTAATCCATATCCATTGGAGCTGAGGTAGCCTTGGATGTGCGCAGGTACATACATGCGTATTACTTATTGGTAATAAGAGTTTTATCCGTCTTAATTCTTTGGGTAAAATAACTTTATAAGCTTTAATCAAAATTCTAAATAAATTTATTAATTTTTAAAATTAACATTCTATCTCAACAATGTAAATATCATTAATAAAAATTATAAAAAAATTAAATTATTTTTTATTTATTAATTTTAAAAATTTTAAAAATATTTTTTAAAAGAATTAAACCAAAGGAAAATACTTATTAGTGCTCCCCAACTCTCAAGATAGGGAGGTTTTTTAATTAATAAAAAAAAATAATTATAAAAATTAATTAATTTTTTTATTCTTATCCATGAATAAAAATACTAATAATTAGATCTACATGTTTAATAAAAAATAATATTTTGAAGTAAAATATTTATTTTAAAAATAAATAAATATATAATTTTAATCAGAATTTTAAAAAAATATTTCACTCTAATTCCTTTTAAAATGAACCGAGTTGTATGCATCTTGGTACAATGAACACTTGCCCTAGTTGTATGCGTCCGTACGGTCATAGCGAACAAAGCAACGAAACTGTGATGCCAACAATCTTTGGACCAGCGGGTAGCTGGACACATGTAAATGGATCTTTGCTTAGAGCTCACTGGGTCGACGGTTGGACGAAGGCGGAGTTCAACAAATAGTGTATCATTATACAAGCATGCTAAATTAATACTGAATACATAAAAAATTCGTGCATCATTACTAACTATCTAATAATTCGACCAATTATTGAATCAATTTAAACAGTTGTTTCAATTTCGAACGAATAATCATATATTTGGCTTAAAGCAATATCTGTTTCATCCTCTATCAATCCCTTAATCTCAACTAATGACTAATCTAACTCTTTAACCCTTTGATGGATTTCAATCCCAATCTTCAGATTGGCCTTATGTTTCTACGAGTTTGGGTAGCGGACACATTCATCTTCGCTACCTTCATTTATGCGTATTAGGAATTTTGTTTGTCATATTTTTTACCTTTACAATGGATAAAATTCAAAAAGTAAAGCCCCTGTGATTAATTAAATTATATCTATTGACATTTGGGCCTTGTAATGGGCTGATGAGATGTTACATTATGGGCTGGAACAAGTCCCACCATACCATGCACCATCTTCTCTATAATGTGAGCAATTTGCAGGCAGAAAAGTTTAATGTAAGTTGAGCGACTGCTACTAAAGACTGCTAGTCTCTCGAATTCTGCATAAGCTCAAACCACTGCAAACACGAGAAAAAAACCAAAAATTATAAATAAAATTCAACAGACATACAAATAATTGCCCAAGAGTCTAATTACCTGTCTCAATAAATCTGCTAAGGTCTTTGGGAGTGCTTCAATATTTCTCAACACAACATAGTATGGGAAGGGAAAGGAATCTAGATACTGGGAAACCAAGATTTTAAATTGGTTATTCTTATCCTGAGTGGTAATTACCTCCTGGACCACACAAGAACGTTATGAGAATCAAAATAATGGTAATAGAGGAAATTTTTATCTTCTCAGACAAAAATCACAAGCCTTACCTGAAGATCCATGATTGATTCCTGCAAGCTATCAAGAATTAGAAAAGCAACCATTCGCTTGCTACTTAAGACATCCCTGACACACCGCTTCAACTTTTCCTGCATTCATAATAAATAATCACACAAGTATATAAACAAGCTTTTTAATCAGCATTGATCGGTACAAAAAACTATGAGCAACCACTCTTGTTTTTCCTTTCAGCAAACTAAAGAGATACCTTCTCATATAACCGACCATCCCCAATAATTAAAACAAGTTGCTGTAGTGGATTTTGTCCAGAAGGAAGTCGGGCATTTGCAACTGCAGCATCCAGCTTCTTATTTAAAAACATCAACAGATCAACAACTGGTTCGTCTCTGATAGTATTCTCTTGTTTGAATGTCAAACTAGAAATCATCTGTCGCAGAACAAAATTTACAAAGAAAATTAGTGATATGATAGAAGAATATAACTTCACAACCTCCAAAATGGAAAGAACATATGTTATAGAAAAGCACATTCTCAGATGCTTCAGAGAGAGCTTAGACACACATATAGGCCCAAATGGAAGACAGCCCTGCAAGGAGGATATTTGGATCACTAACCTTAACTCCTGATTCACCAGTGAAGGGCTGATCAAAGTCATGCAACAACCTTATGTTTCCTTTCTTCCCAAAGCTGGCAACAGCCAAGTTTCCAACTTCCAATTGAGAGATGGCACGACACACAGTCACCAAAGCTTTAATTGCGACCTCACCACAACCACTTTCTGACATACTATACGAGTCATCAACAGCAATAATTACTTGGTAATCTCGCTTGTTTGGTCGGGTACGCCTTAGCCAGATTTTATCTTTTCGGTAATGACTTGCTATGTAAGGAATGACCTGTAATTTCCAAGCACGTAAATGAGTTAGAGAAAAAGAAAGATTTTGCAAAAACAAAAAACAACTGTATACTAGGTTTACACTTCATGTAATATATACTCTACCTTCTTCATGTTTAGCCTTTTGCCAGTCTTATAATCCCCTTGGAGTTTGCTAGCAAGAGTGGGTTCCATGACGAGACGTAATTGTTCAGCCAACTCCTGGGACAATCTAGTTGTGAGCAGCTCATATTTTCTCCAAAGAGCAGTGGCATTATTTTTGACATCACCTGAAACTTCCTCAGGGTCAAGGGCTTTTCCCATTTCCTCTTCACTTATAGAAAGCTTGTTGATTTGATATACATCATCACTCAAGTAAGACTTCTTTACAGAGACCGAGAACTCAGAAAAGGTTCCTGGATCACCATCGCTAGGACTATGGACTCCAGGGGATCGATGATTTGCTGACTCGTCTAACTTTGAAACCTGAATCTGCTCCTCCATCTTATTTTTAATGATTGAGGAACAATGCTTAATGGGATCATCTTCAGAAATTTGCTCATCTATTTCCATATTGGTGACATCATCTCCACTTTCTACAAGGGAGTTTTTGTCAGGCTTATTGACATTGACATCAGCATCAATCTGCTCAGCCGTCGCAGGTCCCAACGCCTGAGCTGTTCCCTTTTCAAACTCAGAGACATAACCATACTCATTAGCATTCTCATCCTCCATTTCACCCTGGGACTTGTTATCATCCTGAAGATCAACAGAGATGCTGACTCTTTCTTTCCACTCCTGAAATGCATCCCCAACATTTCTGTAAGGGTTTGATTGTTTTTTCTGAAACGGATCAGCATCTTGGCTAGGAAACTGTGTTTTTGGATGATGATCAGTAAATTTCCCACTATTTGATGAGTCAGCAACCATGATATTTAAGTCAGAATTATTACTAGAAGGAAAATTTCTCTGAGCAAGATCATTGCAATTGTCACTGCTATTAGCCCAGTTTGCTTCGGGTGCAACATTTGTCAGCTCCAATGCCTCACCGTTTGGTGGTGTTGCAGCTCCCTCATTAGGAACATGATCACCACTGATGTTGGAAATTTCCGATTCAGAAACATTTTTCCTCCCTGCCATTTGGTTTATCTTAGGATCCTCCTTGTGATCTCCGCCAAGATCATCCTTCTCAAATGTTGCATCCACTCTTTCATCCTTTTCAGAGGTTCCATCATTTCTTTCACTCTCTATCTCTTCCATAGTTTCATCAGCAGGATTTAAGTTAGCTTCAGTATTCCCATCTTTAGCAGATTCTTCTTCCTCATCTTTGCCATCTCCTTCCTTGATATCAACTTCCTCTTTTTCATCCATGTTGATATCTTCACTAGATCTTTCATTTAACTCATCAAGCTTCAATCCAGTTGGATCAGCAAATTCCTCTTCTTTGTTAAAGTTCAGGTTTTCGATGTTCTCATGCTCATCAAGATCAGCCTGGTTTTCAATCTCACCAGTTTCCTTGTCAAGTTCATCCATTTTATTTTCTTCAGCTTCATCAGCAGTACCAGCAGAATCTTCCTTGGCTCTAAACTCCCTACTGTTTTTGTCGCTGTCCCTAACTGAAGGCCCAGATTCGTACTTTTCATTGTTATTTGGATTGTCATCATCATCCTTGTCCCAAAGCTTCTCATCAATCACTTCACTGTTTCCTCCAGTTTCCCCCATAGCAGATTCCAGTTGCTGATCCTCAGTATCTTCATCATTATCCTCTCCAGAGTCCTCAC